AAGACCATTAAGAATCTGCTTAGCTATTCTGTGATACTACAGAACACCCTTTTCACACCTAGCCTCTCTTCGTGTCAAGGTTCAATTCGTGCTCGATTCCGGCAGTTCCCTTCAGAAGAGTTGTGATTAAAAATGTTGATTTTTTATCCTGGAAAAAAAAGAGAAGCACCTTGAGTTAGCCGGACGTGCGATTTTCTTCGAAGAGGGACCCATGACACAAGCCGGTTGACAAGTCCATAACATATTGCAAAGATACATAAAGCCAGAGATTTACAAAAACGAAGGCACCAAAGTATGGGCCTGGCCACAACAAAAAAGATCACAGTCGAGTGAGCCGAATTATGCAGTGAGAAAGAATGAACGCTACTCTTATTAGGAAAGCGGAACTTTTAAACGAGTTCTGCGATCAATTTAGAGGCAACATACACGAAAGATAGGATAGTCGCAAGCCTGCCGTTCTGAATACCCCTGAAGATACCATCAGGTAATTCCGGAAGGGAATGTCTCAACGTAGCAGCTGATCTCAATGACCTTCTGTTCTTCAAAGCAAGAAGGTTGCGCTTATTGTTCATAATGGTAAAATAGGGATGGGTAATTCTCCGACCTTTTGCAGTCCACTTTTCAACAAACTCCAGCAGCCTCCGAAAAAAGGGACCTACAGTCAAGCTACAGTGGAGTAGGACCAACTATGGAGTAGCTAATGGTAGAGAAGGAGTGGGCAACACAGTTGTGACAGTTGCTTTGGAGAAAAGCACAACCTCAAAGAAGGTGATCACTCGGTTCAATCAAAACAAGTTCGCTGTGGCGGCCTTCGAAAAATCGAGCGATCAGCTTCCAAAATTCTGGAAGCGACTTCATTCTTGTGAGTCAGTTCGAGGACTTCTGATAGGTTGGATAAATTAACGTAATCAAAATAGATTGCCAAGCTTCTCTCCTCCCTCCCNCCCCCCCCCCCCCCCCCTCGTTCGGCTTTAAGAGCCCGTAGTGACGCTTAGAAACACTTCTGAGCAACGATGATGAAGACCCGCCCAAACCTTCAGAGAGGAGGAGGAGGAGGGTGGTTTGTATTGGGGCGCGAAATCTTCACGCGGGTGCATTATGGCGGTCGCAACGACAAATGACAACTGCAAAGCTTGCTGCTTAATGCCACCAACTACGCTTAAGTGCTTTTCCCTTTTTTGATGTTAATCTTCATTTATTTTAGATGTCCATGTTTCTTTTAGGATTTACATCCCCTCCGCTATAACAAAAAGGTTTTTAGTGTTGATTTCAGTTGATTTCAACAACTCTGCCTTACGTTTATGACTAAGCCATTATTTCTATGCTTTCTACTCATTTGATCACTCAGCAGTCTTTTCTCGGGTGTCACCTGAAAATTCAAAACCTTCTAGGAGTAATTGTGTTTAGAAGAATGAAGAACGAGGCCACAATAAATGCAGAACAAGAGAAATTGTTGGAGAATGCTACACGGGTGGTCAAAGCGGAATCGTTGGAAATGAAGCGATGCCTCGATAAGGTTCGGCGACTTATATATTCCCTTCGAGATTAACACTTTATTACTACCTAATTCACGTTCTTTGTGTGACACTTTTGATCATAGTGTGCGTTTTCTGCAGGGTGAAACGATGGACGCATTGAAACATGCTTCCCAGTTTTTGAACGAATTGAAAACCAGCGAACTTTCTCCGAAATTCTATTACAGATTATGTGAGTCCGTTTGTTTTTGTTAGGTCTTATCTTCTAGCATTTTGCTTTTTATTTTTAGCGGTGGCCATTCCCGTTTGACTAACGTCGTTGTTCGGTAAATAAGCGCTTGATCCCATCATGATTTAAGTTCTGAAAGTGTGCGTGAGCGGGGGGAGGGGCTGGAGGAAAGATGCACTCGTCATCGACGTTCTCTTCTTGAGTTGCTAGGCTCAGATCTACTTCTGTAAGCATCTATGAGGTTTCCTAAGGGAATCTGAAAAGGGTTTTAAGAAAGGCTGGTACATTCCTGGAACTAAAATGCTTTTCTCGAAGTTATGTTGGGTTCTCTTTTAGATATGGACGCTGTAAGCGAACTGCAGCATTTGGAAGCTTTCTTGGTTGATGAACACGAACGCGATCAGAAGAAAATTGAGAATCTCTATGAGTGTGTACAATATGCTGCAGCAATCGTTCCGCGATTGTGGGTGATTTACTCTTCGATTTGGCCGCCTTTGTTTCTCACAAGATCAGAACCTTAGTTCTTTTGCTCGGTAGAATTTTGTCAGACAGTTTCAAATTAATCTGACGGTTTCACTATTTAAAGATCTTGATAACTATAATGTAGTCGTAATTTTCTACTGCAACCTGATGTATGTTACTGTAGTGAAGGATTGTTTCAGACTAATAATTGAAAGTTTACTCTACAGATACCTCTTGATAACCATCGGAGTGGTGTATATCAAATGCGGCGAGGATACGCGTCGCAATATTCTTAGCGACCTTGTTGAAATGTGTCGCGGAGTGCAGCACCCGCTGAGAGGTCTTTTCCTCAGAAACTATTTGCTGCAAAGTACTCGAACTCTTCTCCCAGATAATCCTGATCTAAATACTACAGAGTGAGCATTCTCCAAATTTTCCGGAATTCTAATTTTGCGCNAGATTTTCTCTTTATAGTGTTATTTCTTTTCAGTGTGAATGACTTGCCTGAGTCCGACAAAAACCCGCGAGAATGTGATGGAACCGTATCGGACGCGATTCACTTTGTGCTGGTTAATTTTGCCGAAATGAACAAGTTATGGGTACGGATGCAACATCAAGGACCATCGAGAGAGCGGGAGAAACGGGAAAAGGACCGCATGGAGCTGCGGTAAAATTTAATGAAAAAATTTGACTTGTCGCTCTCTTTCGATAACTGTAAGGGTTTATGCTAGGGCTTCTTTTGTTGCATATGAACTTAGCACTAAAAACACGAAATGGTTGAAAGTTTTGGCTTTAAGGCTGCTTACTTCTTCTTTTTACGCATTACTTGTGATTTTTCGAGCAGGTTAGGTTCCATTTGTCCAGCTTTGTTAGACTCTCCTACTTGTACTGAACTTTTTGAACATATGCGCTAATGTTTATTCATATACTCATGGACAGAAACTTGTACAGAGTTTTATTTTTAAGGATACTCGTTGGAACGAATCTTGTTAGACTGTCGCAGCTTGAGAACCTAACAGAAGACATATATGTGAAAGAAGTATTACCAAGCATTCTCGAGCAGGTGGTGTCATGTAGAGACCACATTTCCCAGGTAATTGTCAGACTTCTCAAGCCTTTATAGGATTTGTTGCGATTCCTCATAGAAATAATCCCGAGAAATGTTTGATTCACGGGGATTGCTCCAGCTTGATGCTGAAGTGCCATGATTTTCCCTGCTGTCTCGCTACACTTATCAAAAATGGTAATAATCTAGCAGATGAGCAGCCATATGTTTTGAAGTTCGTGCTAGTGGTTACATTTAGGATAGTCGTTTTGTTCAGACCTCCGTAGCTTTATACTTTCTGTATATTTCACTGTTCTCACGAGAGGGTGCTACGGAAGGTTGTCTTGTAGTAAAACTCCTTTTTGTTGCAGGAATATTTGATGGAGTGTGTTATTCAAGTGTTCGGAGATGATTTCCACCTTGCCACTTTGAATGAATTTCTGCGAGCATGTGGAGATCTTGTGCCGGTAAAATAACACACAGTATGATTTCGCTTTTTTTGACACCAAAGGTAATGAATTTTAAGGAAGTGAATGTTAAAAACATCCTCATTGCGTTGATTGAAAGGTTGGCTTTATTCGCTGCTAATCCGGAAGGACCTGGTATACCCGCAGACGTAAGCATATTTTTTTCAAATGTTATTAGGCAGTCTTGAACTGTAGCCCATTATAGATTCAACTGTTCGATATCTTTTCGGAGCAAGCCAAGAATCTTGTTAAAAATCGTACAGAAATGCCTATGGAGGATATTGTGTCTCTCTATGTAAGCGTTGTCCTTATTCATCCGTTATGCACTATTGTGTTTATTTCGGGCAACTTTGAATTTTAAGGCTGCTCTGGTGGGATTAGCGATCAAGTGTTACCCGAATAGGCCCGAGTTTGCAAATACATCGTTCGGTAGCTTGAAATGTATTCTAGAAGAGAAAAAGATAACTGCGTAAGTCGACGAGATTTCTTATGCATTTTTAAGTTAAGACCAGAAGCACATGTTACAAAGGTTGTTTCTACTTTTAGCATTGAACCTTTTGGCCCCGTCGGTCGTGAATTGATGAAACTGATCCAGTTACCAATTGATGAATTCAATAATGCTTTGAAAATTGCCGAGCTCACTGAGTTTGTTCCCGTGATGGAAAGTTTCAAATATCACGGACGTTGTCTGGCTGCATCACACATCATTCAGGTAGCAGATGGTTTTACTTTGCTCATAGGTCAGGTCTTAACGAGACGTTTGCTTTTGATAAGCTCCCAAATCTCGTCTTGCAAAAAATCGAAGAGTCTCAATTCAAAAAGCGAACACATCAAAGCAAGAAACTAAAGAAAGGCTTTGAATATGCCACAGCCACCGCATATGTTGCACAGTTTTTCTGTTGATATTGTTTGAGGGGTAGAACGGGTGTGTGTCAAGTCGTGCGTCCGAGAGTGCGCGCGGCAAATTGCGCGGCGAAGTTCGTGGAGAATTTGGACGACTCCGGCGCCTATAATTGGGGCCCAAATCTGAAGTAAGGTAGATAAGTAAGGTCAGCTGATCCTACTATTCTACTGTACTTCGAAACTGGGCCCAAATAATAAGCGTTAAAGTCGTCAGAACAGTTATGGGTTTTGCCGCGCGATTTGCCGCGCTCACCCTCGGACGCACGTCTTGACCGTCCCCCGGGTAGAACGCTTCTCAGTTACGACTGTTTCCCCGTAATCCCCGTAATCGCATAAAAGACGTTTTTGATATGAAATGCTCAGTCGTCGGAAAAAGGCATCAGTAAAGGCAGCTACTATTACAAGTCAGGAGACTTGTAATTGTAAAGTCGATTGTATGCGAAGAATCGAATTTTGGATATCGAAGCTAGAACTGGCTTTTCTTAACAGTAGGTGGAGGTTACCACAACGACCTATGTGTACCACATATTGACCCCTCTTTACCTTACATCCTTTTCCATTTGATATTTTCTAGTCAACGTTCGGTATGGAAGATTTATTCCAACCATAAGGTTTTATAGCATTGCACAGTGACGATATTCTTTGAAACTGCTCTGATTCGTTTGGAACCGATAGAGACTTGGTGTAATCGATATTCTTGATCTTATTCTGTGATCTTATTTTCCTTATTTCTCAGAATATGCTTGAACATGGAACATTGATGAAAACTGAAGAAAATGTAGCGGTAATGTGTGCTATGTTACATTCATTGTTGGTAGACCAACAAGACCAACCTCCTAATGCGGCGGTTTGTTTTCAATTCGTTTTTATCTGAACGTTCTCGATCCCACGTGAAGACTGTATCTGAAAAAATTTTACTTTAGGAAACGGAAGACTTCGAGGATGAACAGCATTATGTGGCTCGATTTGTCCATCTCATCCAAGCTGATACTCCCGATGAGCAGTTTTTGGTTCGTGTAATAATGTGTTTCAAAATGAAATTGATAACTTTGCTTCGGTATAGTCCAATGAATTGCCTTTTCAGTTGCTGAATAATGCAAGGAAAATTTTGGGTGCAGGTGGAAAGGCCAGGATTCGGTATACCTTAACTCCTATCATATTCGAACTTTATAAGCTCATATTGCGTTTCGTCGATCTTAAAGATGAGGTACTGTTTTGCTGTAACTGCTGCATTTATTCGTAATGGAGTGGACTTTTTACAGCCCAACTGGGAGGCGAAAATGCGAAAGATGTTCATGTGTGCAATGGGAACGATCGGTGCATTGATCACCACTGCGGAGATGTCAGATTTGCCGTTGAAGTTATACCTGGAGGTTTGTCCCTTTGTGTCGCTTTACTCGGCTCTTGCCGGGAACCATAGTTGTTTTGAGGTGGTGAGGGAACATTCTTGCTTTGTTCCCGTTTTGAGGTTGCAAATAAAGTTCTGCACTTCAGCATGCCCAAGAGAAATGAGGTGTTTCCCACCCCTAATGTGGGCATAATGTGTGTATTTCTGTTCTTTTGTGTGTTTGTGTGTACCCAAAATGTGCGCCGAAATTATTTGAGGTTCTTGTCATATCTGAGTGAACCGTATGCTCGAATTATGGTCGTCCCTTTCGGGAAACCATTCTGATCCAATATAAACAGAGAACGGGATAAAATCGATAGAGGGCAACGAGTTATCGGATAAGATGACGAGCTGAAGTTTGCAGAGGACAGTATGCACGTGGGAGGGCGGGGCTACATTGAAAAGTCCGTACATTGGTTTCAAAAAAGCTACGATATCGGGAAGAAATTAGCCTTTGGCTTCAATCATACCGCTTTGCGGTGCACCCTCGGTGACCTGCAATGACTTGCGGTGACCAGCCTATGTACAATTTAGTTTTATTTTATCCTCCCAGACCCTGCCCGAAAGATATGGAAGGCTTGATTAGCCCTGACATATCAGTCAGGGAGTCGTAATCGGACCATGCTTGTGGTCAGTGCGTCTCTTGCAATTGCAATCTGTTCCTTTTTTTACTAGTGAAATTAGCTCCTCGTCCTGCTTCCTGGGAAGTGGCCGGCTTAGTTATGAATTCTCGTAGGAAGCAATTTCCAGTTACAGTCTGCGCTTTCAGGGTGCCATGGTGGCTGACAAAGTACCTTTACCCGATGCCTCTTCGGTTGTCTACGAATTCATTTCCAAGGTGTGCAGCCTTTTAGTTAAATTGCTATTCTACTTGCAAGATTTTATTTTCAATTTTTTTATAGCTCCGAAGAGTGCTTGATGTTAGAATGACAGTGAAATGGAACCGGCTCAGTTTAGGCCATGTCTGTGTTCGAGGATGAAATTGCGGAATCTCGTGAACGAATTAGTGCAATGTCGTTGATTGCTGGTACGATGTTGGAAATCAAGAACTTGCCATCAGAAAGCTGGCACACACTTGCCGGTCAGATTGTTGTCGCCGCCTCGGCTAAAATGTTCAAAAAGGTATCACTGTTGATGTTTCTTACAGTTTTTTAGCTCCAAGCCTTTTGCTAAAAGAGCATAACATAACTATTATAGGCTGATCAAGTGAAAACTCTTTGCACAGTGGTGACATTGTATTGGAAAGGTCAAACTGCTGATTCTGACGGCATGATGAGAAATGGTGATAAAGTCGTAGAAGTAATGAAGAAGGCTGCCAAGGTCTTCCACCATGTTGAATTCTTTTTATTTCTATTAGTTCCAAATATGAGATATATTTGTATCAGTGGGAGGACAAATATTTTCCCCACGTGTACATGTTGTCCATGCCTTCTAGAAATTCTCGCATCGTTCTCTTGAACTTGATTTCCTTCACATCTTTCATCCCACGTTGGCCTTAACAACGCACCTTTAAGATGATTTTTTTCCCTCAAGCGGCTTGTTCACATTTGTTGGATGGTAGTTATTACATTTGAAAACTCGCAACTCTACATTTTTTCAATTTCAGATAGCAACGCAGTGTCTTGAACCCATCGTTCAGCAGCAGCTTTTCGTTCAAATTATCAACACTCTCCTTTACTTCTACGAGGACAATTGTGTTGAGGTATTTAGGTTTATCACATAGGTTTTTTTGCTTTTACGTGCTGGCGAAGCCGGAACATTACCCCTTCTTCCAGAGAGAGATTATAGTTTTTCTCATTTTCCTCAAACTTTATATGATGTAGCATTCATTCAGGTGACTGAGGACATGCTTGTGGATCTGATATCTCGCACCAAAGACAATGCTGTACAGCTCGACGTTAGTGCCGAAGCAGACGCTCTCGAAAAACACCTAGCTATGACATTACAGCATATCAAAAGATCAAAGGACAAGCGCCCAGGATTAGCAGAGCGGCTTCAGTTGTAGTTTGTTGACCTTTTTTTCATTGTGCCGAGGGCGGCCTTATCAGGTTGCCACCTGAATTTTCTCTCATCGTTTCGCTCACTTTCTTTATTATTCTCGTTGAGAAAGGATCGCATTCATTCTACATAATTCTTTCTTGCCAGGCATCCGTGACTTTCGGTTCTCCTCCTTAAGCTCTGTCGGATATCCAAAAATTTCTCCTTTCACTTGTTGACTATCTTTTTTTTCCGAGTATTAGACGAACCTTCTCGTTTTTTTTTCCACAAATTTTCTAGCTTTGTAGAAAAGTTCTATAGTGCATTCCGCCCTCTTATTGTAAGGAAGCGCTTAATCTAATTGTGCAAAGATAAGAGAGTGCAAGTAGAAGTGATAGTCCTTTGCTCACTCGGTGATATTTCGGTTAGTGTTGATTGTTGTTCAGTTGTGGTCAGAAACCATGCTGCAGATGTTTCAATTAGATAGCATTTTAAAGTATAGTTGGAATAATTCCAGTGCCTTGAACATCTAGAGCATCTTCACCTTCAATTTTCTTGTCAGATAGGGGAAATGGGCGTGATGAACCAGAAGCTTTCACTATGTAATGGCCGTGTAGCTCTCACTAGCACAACCCCCTATTTTTGTATTTTAAAGCATTTTCCAGTCTTGAATCACACGAGTCTGAAAATCATAGAAGTATATCTACATCAGAGCGCATCCCAGTTGCCCTGCCAACGGAGAAGTTTGCACTAGGTAACAATAGATAGCTATTTCTCTAATTATTCAAGTGGGACCTTATTATAATTTGAGGAACATTTTCAAATTACCTGGTCAACTGTTTCTAATACGAGAAATTATCCAAAGAATGTTAGTGAGTGGAGTTACATCAGGGTTGGTTCGGTTTAGAATTTCCCCAATTCGTAAGCGTGGCCTATCTTTCGCAAATTGCCTTTTTTGCGCTGAAGATACCTGCAGCATCAAAGTTTCTTATCCATTTCGGTTGATGAATTGCATGTCAAATTTAGATGTTGAGCCACGTTCAAGTTGGATTGTTTTATTAATATTTATTATAACTATAATCCCTGTACATAGACGGTTGTTCGCGATTTCTTTAACGAGTGTCGTGGTTTTTATACGAGTTGTTTTTCAATAATACAGCGTAATATTGAATAAATATTTATTTATCCCATGGTTTTTACGACGAACTCGTTGATTTTCGGTGTAGTACCTTTGTTACAGTGTAACAATCTTTTCGCTTCCTAAAATGACCTTTAGTTTTCTTTATCGTACCAGGTTTTGCGAATTTTCAGGATCACGGGTGGAGTGGTAGTGTGTCGATCACTTCGCAGCGAGAAACCGAGCTACTTCGGGGTCAACGTGACGGAGAGGGACTGGGTGAGTGTTCGTATATTTCATGGTTAGTTATGCCGACCTTTTCAAAATAACCCATGTACATAGACGTAGCAAAATAGAGGTAACATATGAAAACATGCCTTGCATATTGCTTGATCATGTAGCTTTGTTACCCTTTTTTTTCATTGTTTTGTTTGCTCCTACGAATGTTCACTCAATCGAGTTTTTTCGAACGAGAGTTTCTTTCATAAAAGTTGTGAATCCGGGTGAGTTAATTTCTACCCTGTTGTCTTTTTCTTCATCGCTCACTGCTGTTTCATTAAGTCGTACTTGAGGTACTTTTTGATGGTACTTTTTTATCTGTCATAGTTGTCTTCTCAGTGGGAGAATTATTAAATTGGCCCATTAGTAAGGTAAAAGGGCCTTTCCAATGCTGTTCGATAGCAACTGGTAGAAGCTGTTATGTTCTAACTTCCGCGATCAATTCCAACTTGAATTTCTATCATATTGAAGCTATTATTTGAATTAAAGATGCTCTCAAATATGCTCTTGTTCCTAACTCATCATGTGTGGGTGATTATGCCAAGTCGCACAAGATGACTGACAGCAAACCAAACACATTTTTGATGGCTAAAAGTAGCTGCAAAGAACCACCGAAACGACTGTATCGCAGTTGTCGCTGTGAGGTCCCTAAGCCTCATCTCTGCAACTGCCTGTCTCCCAAGCTTTCCTTGGTTACAATCGCCTTCCTTCATTCTTGGGAAGCGATTTTCTTCCTGCGTAATCGAATTTGACAGAAGCATTTCATTAGTTATCGGGTAATATCGTCATTAACCCTTTGGCGACAATGGCACCCACTGGTGGGTGCCACTATGACTAGCGCGTGGGACATTGGCATCCAATTTCGGTTGCCACCATACATAGTTCCTTGTTTCTTACCAAATGCTTAATTCAGTAGGCCAGTGAAAGAACTTCCTCATGGGACAGCGTCACCCCCGGTGGGGGCCAGTTGCGGGCGAAGACAGGGGAGCGTGGTCCCATGGGGCGTCACGTCGAAATCCGCATTGTCGTCAAAGGGTTAATAACTTTTTAGCCAGGGAAGTGGTTAATTTCTCAACTCGAGCATTTCCAGTTTTCCTCCTATTGCTCTGACAAAAAATGTTGGATATCTTATTGCTGCGTTTGACAGCGCGCATGGTGTCGTTTTCGTTGAAGTACGCATTTTTTCGTTCCAGTAGTTCCTGAGTTAGAGTATTTGAGCACTTATAGAGGACAACACTTGTGTGACGTCAAATTGTCCATTGACTGACAGTCTTATCAGTGTTTAATCGATGCTTACGGTACGTAACACCGTTCAGTACAATTGCGCTGCTCCTGCTATACGTTAATTGCAGGAAGGTTTCGATATTCCTGGCATTTAAGTCCGTTTCACTTTTCTATTCTTCTTTTTCTTCGCCGCTATTCCGAGTCGTCGTAGGTTTTGCTGCTCTTGTTGGTTATCGCCGCTTTTCCCTTCTCAGGCTTATTCTATCAAAGTGTCGAACATGCTTAGGTCTATTTTGGTACAGTCTCTTCATTTCTTCTTCGGGCTCTTCGCTGTTGCTTCTTTGAGTTTTGCCGTTTCACCTATTGAGTTAACCTACGACATCCTCTGCACATTTCCATACCTTTGTTCTCACTTCTTCGCTGCTGCACCAGAGGCTGCTGACCAGAATGAACGTCAGCACATGACGTCCCTCTATTCTGCATTCAGCGGCTTACTTGTTCCAAATATCGGATACACATACATCTCTTTCGATAAGCTCACTTTAGGCGTTGGTATAGGAATGAGGTTAAATTCCTTATCTTTATCGATTGAAGATGAGTAGCAGGGTCGTGGTCTTTATTCGAGATTCTCTCCTTTATTCATTTGGAGACTCAAGCGCTTCTCGCAACCTTAGCGGACAGTTAGGTGAAATCAAATTTGCTTACTTTACCAGTGCTTGTATGCATCTTCCATTCGCTTGCGAACTCGAACGAGCTCTCTTTCTCTTTTCAATAGCACACTGCCTCATCTCCCCTGTATCCGTCCCACTTTTCCTCATCACTAGTCCTGCTTTATTTGTACCTGGCATGTAGGACGACTTCAGGGTTGCTTCTTGTTGGCTGAACTAGCTCTCGAGAACCTAAGATAGGGATTTTCTGTACAGCAACCCTGCTCTAAGGCCGTCTTTCGGAGCTTGGTGCATCACCATAAAAATCTTTCCTAGAAATT